GGATATAAAATGCATATTTCGAAGAGATCTACAACTTTTATTTAAAACATTTTTCAAACTGTTTGATATTTGGTGAGATAAATGTTAAAAACCATAATTTTTATGGGTTTTTCATCGTTTTCATTGGTTTCTTGTTCCGACCGCCATGTCTAAGTTATATATTCATGTTCAGAACACAAAAATACATAGGAATTGAGTGTTGTTATCCCTTATTTCATATGCGTGGGTTTTCCGAAGGTTTACCTCTGTCACGATGGTAAATGGTATTCCTATTAAATAGACCCTGAATTTCTTTATAGCTCTAACAATAGCCAACACTTCTAATCTATAACTGTCATACTTCGCTTCAGTGGGTGTAGTCTTACCGCTAGCATAGTACACCGGGTGAAACATACGATCTTCGCTATCGCGTTGTAATAATATCGCACCAAATCCCAAGGCCGATGCGTCAGTGTGTAGTTCTGTCTCTGCCGTCGGACAGTACAATCATAATACAGGTTCTTCTCGCTAAGAATCGACTTTAGTTCATTAAACGCGCGTCTTTGCTCTTCCCCGAATTGGAACTCTATTCCGCCTTTTAACAATTCCGTCAACGGACGTGCTATGGTTGCGTATCCTCGTATAAATTTGCGAAAATAGCCCGTAAGACCAAGAAAACTCTGTAGTGAACGCACACTCGTCGGCCTTGGAAAATGTTTTACAGCATCGGTCTTTTCGTCAGACGGCGTAATTTCCCCGTTCTCAATTTGATGCCCCAAGTAGCACACCTTAGTTTTTTATAATTGGCACTTCCCCAATTAAAAGATAATCCGCTTTCGCTCGCTGTTTTTAATACTAACTTAAGCCGTGTTAAACCGTCTTGTAAATCGATTGAAGGTATAATAAGATCATCCATATAAATTGCCACTATCCCTGTCGCGGCTAATTCACGAAAAACTGCGTTAATATATTTTTGAAAGTATGCTGGGGAGGTACACAAGCCGAAAGGCATCTTTAAAAATTCATACTGCCCGTTTGGAACAACAAAAGCAGTGTATTTGCGACTGATTTCTTCGACCGATATACATGTATGGAAAAATCCGTTCTCTAAATCTAACGTACTATAAATCCGTGCGCTCTGAAAAAGTTCTAGTTGATCCTCGATCAGCGGTAAAGGGTATCTATTTTTGATCACTTTCTCGTTTAATTTTCGTTAGTCTATACACATTCTTGTTGCGCCGTTCTTCTTTTTCACTAATACTATTGGACTTGCGTACTCCGAACTCGACAGTCTTATTATTCCTTCTTCTAACCATACGCGTATTTTTGTGAATCCACGAAAGCTTTCTCCGACATTGACAACCTTCGTGCATTCAGAGTAACCGGAATATCATCTTTTACAACTATAGTCATCTTAACTCCTACGTCTTTCTCCCTTTTCGGCTTATATTCTTTTATTAAGCTTTCTACTTCCCTCTTAATTTTCTCCTCTTTTATATGTGACACATCTATGCTTTTACCGTCTTGTATTTCGTCAATCTTATAAACTTCGGGTATTTCTACTGGATCATCTACAATCTTGGAAATGTTTATTACCCCCTTTCTTATATGAACTTCGACATTGTCTAAAAAGTCAGTTCCTATTATTATGCCACATGGAATAGTCTCGTTACTAACTACATGCATCGTGACATCATAAATTTCTTTGTCTATGCAAATTTCTACTCGCACGTCGCCGAACGTTGTGTTTACCTTTGAGCCCGCTCCTCGAAACGATACCTTACGATTTCCGAGAACTGGTGATCCTAATTGCGCGTGCTGTTCTTCGCCTAGCAAACTGAGATCACTGCCCGAATCTATTACCGCGCAAAATTCAACATCATTAATAACGACATCTTTTCGGCGTTTCTTAGCGCTTGACTGGACGACATTACAACTTTTCTTCTTTTCTACGTTCGTACTTTCCGGACATTTCGCGGCTATATGGCCGTATTTATTGCATCCAAAACATTTCGTACCCTGCCCCTTCAAAGGGCATGCCGCGCTTAAATGATTACTATCCCCGCAATTATAACAACGTTTTCCGTCGCGTTTCGCATCTTTAGTTTCCGCGCTCGTGTGCTTCTTTTTATTTTCACTCGCTCTCGTATTTGGCTTTTGTTTACCGTAAATTTCCGCGCATATATCTAACTTATCTTTCAATTCGCGAATCGTTTTGGCACCGTACAGCACCATCTTCCGGTGTCCTTCGTCTTCGATGCCGTCAATGATGTACTGGATAACCGCCTTCGTTTCCACGCTTGCTCGCGCTGCCATCTCCACCATCTTGTAGCAGTACTCGTGGTACGATTCGTCGGGCTTCTTCTTGCGTTTTTGTAGTTCCTTATGCACTGCTCGGCTATCCACTTTCAGCGCGAA